AACAATTAAGTAACCCTATTCAATCGAACGAAAATACCCACTTACAATCTATTAATAATTATCTTACAAACGTATGTTCATTGTGAGACCATCATAGACTGAGGAAAGTCTCTTCATCTAGCATGGCCCTCTAACATTAAGTACTCTCAACTCTCACTCTCTCGCGTGCCACCTCACTCTACTCAAAATCGCCTTGCTCACCCTGGTGGCTACATCTCTCCTGCATGTTTAACTTTGTTGTCTGTACACCAAGTACATTATGAAAGAAGGAGCTGACTTTCTGTGTGAGATGTGACGCCAAACAGCTCTTTGCCTCCGCTCTCTGCTCTCTGACATCTCGCTCATCTCTCTCTGCTCTCTCTTCTCTCTCGGTCTCTCGTGGGATCTTTAGGTTCCGAGTTAAGTAGTTAGTACGGGAGGCGTATAGCATACACATGAGAAATAGAAGAAAGGATTAACTGAGAGAGCGCATGTGTGCCTGTATATGGGAGACCTCAACGAGCAAATCGCTGAGAATTTTTAGAGAAAGTGAGCACGACTTTGTTTGTATTGTGAAAGCTGGCTCGGGTGAACTGCGTGAGAGATATCACATTGATAAGCGACGGTGGTGGTGTGGAGGCAGGTGGGAGTTGCCGTCAAAGCGAAACTACGCATGATTCTGGGATTAAATAGAAGAAGAAAGAAGGAGCGAGGAGGAGGAGGAGGAGGGGAGAAAAGGAGGGAAAAGGGAGGAGGGAAAGAAAGAAGAAAGGATAGAAAGGAGATGGACCAGGGGAGAAAGGAAGGAAAGGAGGAGAGAAAGAAAGAGAGAGAGGGAACGAGGAGGGAAGAGAAAAGAAGAAGGCTGAAGAGGCTGAAGGAGGGGGAAGATAGAGGAAGGGGGAGAGAGAACAAGGAATGGAGAGAAGGAGAGAGGAGGGCGAGAGAAAGGAAGAAGAAGGAAGAGGAGAGAAAGAAGAAGCGAAGAGGAAGAGAAAGAAGAAGGAAGCGAAGAGGGAGAGAAAAGAACCGAAGAAGGGAAGAGTGTGAGAGAAACGACCAGAAACGAGAGGGAAGAGGAAGAGAAAGAAGAAGAAAGGACAGCAGCGAGAGAACCTGACCCAGAAGAAGGAAGAGGAGAGAAGGAAGGAAAAGAAGAAAGTGAGAAGGAAAAGAAGGAATGGAGAAGACAGTGATGGAGGAGGGAGAGGAAGACGACGAGGATGGAGAAGAAAGAACACAAGAACGATGAAGAAGGACCAAGAAGCAAGGAGGCAGAGAGAGAGAGAGACGGGACCGGTTGACTAAATTAAATAAAAGGCCATCCGAGAAGAGTTAGTATTAGAACACCAAGAGGTGCTGGTAGAAATATGTTCGGTGGTTCTCCGTTTTTTTTTTCTTGGCGTCTTCATCTTCCCTCCTCGGTATTTTGAATCGAGGGTGGCAGGCAAGTTTATCTTTTAATGTGTATCTTCTGCTCCATCATGTTATCACGGTCCGGTGAATTTCCAAAAGGAAAGACGAGAGACCGTCTAAGTTAAATCACGAACTATAATGCCAAAAAAAAAGTAAAGTTAAAAGAGTCAGAATTAAAATAAGAACATAAAAGCCACTGAGCAGGAGCCAGCAAATATATAGTGATATGAGAAATATGTCAATGGCCACGCTTTCTCTATTATAGGTACTATATTATATACTATATAAAAATATAAGTATATATATATATATATATATATATAGTATTTAAAGGAAATAGGAAGACAAAAACTCATGGAAAATGATTTTATTACTTTTATTCGCGTCGAACTTGGGAACTGGAGGTACAGGTCGAGTCACAACATCCGCGAATGTTCAACCTTTGCACGTCAGCAGAACACGTAGGTTTAGCACAGGAACAACGTGCGTGAATATAATGGCCACTAGGGATAAATACCCAAGTGTTCAGTTCCTTGGTCAAAAGTTGTATGCTCCTGGCAGTTAAAATGCAAACCTGGGACATTCTATATAAATAGACACTGCCAGGAGTTAACCAACTCCTGCCTGTACATGAATGCTGTGTTGAACGTTTGGGTGATACTGACGAGTATCATATATGGTAAGATATACGCAGTAAATATGAGCGAAGTGGTATGTATGTGTGTGTAGGAACGTGTGGGTGTAGGTGTGTGTGTGTGTGTTGTGTGTGTGTGTGTGTGCTGTGTGGTGATGTGTGTGTGTGGTGTGTGTGTGGTGTGTGTGGCAAGACAAGTATTTGAGAAGTGATGATATTCTTTGTTGTGTGAATAACATATGTAGTGTTGCTGTAAGTGTGTGGTACGTTCCCATTAGAGTTGTTACACAGAAACATATTATATAACGTCGGGATTTGTAAACATAGCTGAGCGAACTGTGCACATCAAACTGGCGTAAATCGGCTCTATCAATTCTTTTGTTACGCCACAAACAGTTAGTACACACATAAAGCTAGTGAGCGATATAAGCCGACGGTTCCACGTGTTTAAGCACCACGGAAAAACCAATTCTTCAGACCTCGTACTTTTTGTGGGCAGGGCTAATGACACCACTAAATTTCAGATTATAATGCTTAGATATATTGATTAAATGATGCAGTCATTGGTTTACCTAGTTTTTTCTTCATTTGTGGAATAAATACCATGAAATTAGAAACGAAATTAATGGATAAAACCTGGAGTGCATTGGAGAGAGTGTAGATGGTGCCGCGAAGAGGTCGCGATTTTGTGCCAAGCACCTGAAAGTATCCCAACCATAGATAATTGAGTTGTATAGCTCCATCCGCCGTATGACCAGACAATGAGTAGGAAATACCATCTATTTTGGAGTGTATGTGACACGAGACAAAGTCATCCGCCAAACATTTTAAAAGATTGAGAACGAATTGAATTTATGGAAACAATAAAAAATAGAGGAATAATTTATTTGCTTAGAAGAGAAACCAACTAAAAAATGGATAACGATATAAAATACTAAAGGTTATTTCCACCTCCATTATAGTCAAAATAAGCCCTGATGATATTCCCGAGGTATTTATAACAAATTTTTTGTATAACGCGGGCCACTCCACATGGAAAGGGGAGATGGAAAAAGATCTGTATAGCTTGCTGACGCATTTCTGCGTTATCAACGCCTATGTAAACACTCATAAATGACTTCGTGCAAAATGGAGCTTCCAATATATAATGAAAATGCAGTCATCGTGCATTTATCATAATTCGCAATTATCCCTGACCCAACCGGAAAAGGCGAGGAGTGTCGTCACGGGCAGCCGCCAAAGCAATGTGCGAGTGCGTATACATCTCGCCGAAACAAAGAACCGCTTGAAGTGGCCCATGGCGAGCATGGTGCTCGAGGATCCTCTCCACCAAGTGCGAACTGTGAAGGCTATCTCTGCCTCCCTACGACCTCCATCTTATAATGCAGGGGAGTTAGGGATGACACCACCAGGTCTCTCTCCTCTCCTCCCAATCGCGTCCCCAGAGTCCTCCTGTCCATATCGTGCCGGATAGCTAGTTCATCTCTCTCTAACATCCCATCTTAGATCGTCAACACCATTCCATAACATAATACGTCACTCTAACACCTCCCTGTGTTATTATAACGTAACCAACCAATCCCACCCGACTCTCATCTCATATTACGGTCTAAGCAGATCTCTCGCGTCTTTATGTGCGTGTCGATCGGGATTATAGTCGACGGGCATACGGAGTCATCATTCTCGTGCATGCAATAGGGTGGAGTGACTGCGGTCGAGGACAGCTCCCGAGACGTTCAATATTGCCTTCCAAATCAATCCACCTTGATGAGGTGCCCACTCCTGCCGTGCCGATCGTCCTTCCTCCTGCATGTTACGTGTTGTGACTATGTGTCGATGATTTCCATTACATCCATCATGTGCACTCTATATTTATGATGCTATGTAACTAGGTCTATGGCGATATTCGTGCTTGGTGATCTGCTTGACAGGAAAAGGCGAGGAATGAGTTTTGCGCAGTCTATTTTTCTTGTTGCTTTTCTTATGAATGTGGAAATGTATTATAAGAATTCCTTGTTGAGTCCCTAGATGCATAACTGAGAAGTATCGTCAAATAAATTCTTAATCTCTTCCTGTTGTTCATCTCAGAGAGAAATAGATAGCAATGCTGGACCAACGAAAGCACTATTCTTCACAGGAGAGCCTATAAGTATAAATTATTAAAGGGTCCGATTTGTGGAATGACGATAATTATATGCATGACGCTGTCTTTTCCTTGTGCACGGGATACCGAGTCCACAGATCGCCAATAGGTTGGAAGAACGCTGTACCAGAAAGTAAAGTGTAATCCGAACTACCTCGCACCTCCTCTCATAACTTTAATGAGAATACATGTTGGATTCCGTCTGCCGCGTTTGTTGTATCAATACTCGTCTCTCATCTCTCTACTCCGTCCCTCTTCTCTTCTGCATCTTTCTTGTACTAGCTACGTGCTCGGTATCAGATGGAAACGTAGTCATCATAACGTTACATTGTAATCCGATATTCATGCTTCTCTCTCCACCTGATGTCTCTATTGAACCAAACAAACACATCTTCGATAACACTCATCAGTTACTTTCCATCTCCTCCTATAACCTATCCTACATCCTCCGCATTAGTGTACAATTTTTTCTATTCTCTACTCTCTATTATCGTTATCTCCACTTACCGGATTACTCTCTACAGTGTTGCTCCATTATTTAAATCACATCCCCACACTACGCTCATCACCGTGCTCCACACCCCTAATAACCCATACTCTACATAACAACCCCTATCCTCCAATACAACATTTTCCATATATACCCTATACCATCACACCATACACCACACCACCATCCACCTTATCCACTCCCTAACCTACCCCAACCACATTACCTACACCGTCACATCTCCTCCAACTCAACCTCATTCCTCCTCAGTATAATCATCTCCACCGCCTCCCTCCCTCCATCATTCATCCATGACCCTCCATCTATATATTCCTCATCTACCACCGCATCAACTCTACCAACTCTACTCTTCCCGCCTCCCCGCTCACTCCTAACCTCCTCACACTCTCACTCCTAATACCACCGCCTCCTATCCTCACAAAGGCATGCTGTGGAAAATCGGTGTACGGATCGCTTCCACGTTTGCGATTACTTCTCCATCGGGCGACTCGAGGCTGAAGTGGGCGGCCCTTCTCCTTCTGCGTCAGATAGGACGACGTATTCTCATCTACTACACGCACGCCTCAGTTGCAGTCCACCTCGCACCGATATATCGTTAAAAGGGCTTGGTAAAGGAAATGGGAGAGCGAACTAATAGTAGAAGGATGTGAAGAGAAAAAATGGGAACTGACAAAGAATGTGGGAGTGGGAGGATGAGGGGAGTGGGAAGGATAAGGGGAGTGGGGGAAGGATGAGGGGGATGGGGAAGGATAAGGGGAGTGGGAAGGGATAAGGGGAGTGGGAATGATCGGGAATAATGGGAAGGATGGGAGAATGAGGAAAATGGGAATAATGAGAATGGAAATACACACACACACACACCACACACACACACACACACACACACACACACACACACACACACCACACACACACACACACCACACACACACAAACACCACTAAAAAGTAAATACAACACTCTTAAAAAAGTTAAAACAATAGCTTAAAATAACTAAAAATAACACTGCTAACAAATAGGATTAATAAAAAATAACTGAAAATAATAAAAAAATAACACTTAACTATAATAAAAAGAATAGTCAAAACTAACACTCAAATACTTAAAACAACAACATGGAATTAATAATAATAAAAAGATGACACTCTCTAAACCTCCTTCAGTACACACAACCCACCCTTCCCTTCAATAACACAACCCACCTCCCTTCACAACCCACCTTTCCCTTCAGGAACACAACCCCACCCTTTCCTTCAAGAACACAATCCACCTTTCCTTCAGTAACACAACCCACTCCCTTCACAACCCACCTTTCCTTCACTAACCCTCCCTCCATCAGCAACACAACCCACCTTCCCTTCAGCAACACAACCCACCCTTCCTCCACAACCCACCTTCCCTTCAGCAACACAACCCACTCCCTTCAGCAACACAACCCACCCTCTCGACATACCCTCAGGGGGCGGCAGGAACCGGAGCGACAGGACGTGCAGCAAGAAAACCAGTATTGAGACACTTCCGAAGATCAGGTACATTCTGGGACCCCCGAACTGCTGGTATAAGACGCCGCCCACCAAACTCGCCGTCGCGTAGCCTGTGAGGAGAATGAGGAATTATGAGTGAAACGGAGAATGAGGAATTATGAGTGAAACGGAGAATGAGGAATTATGAGTGAAACGGAGAACGAGGAATTATGAGTGAAACGGAAAATGAGGAATTATGAGTGAAACGGAGAATGTGAGTGAGAGGATGAGGGAATTATGAGTAACACGTAAGTAAGATGAGTTTATGAGAGAGCCTGTGAAGAATGAGGAATTATAAGTAAAACGTAAATAAGATGTTTATGAGAGAGTCTGTGATGAATGAGGAATTACTTGCAGAGGTGAGAATTAGGAATTATGAGTAAAGCGTAAGATAAGGTGAGTTATGAGAGAGCCTGTGAAGAATGAGGAATTATAAGTTAAAACGTAAATAAGATGTTTATGAGAGAGTCTGTGCATGAATGAGAATTACTGAGTAAAACGTAAAATAAGATGAATTCATGAAGAGAGCCTGCGAAGAATCTGGAATATATATATTAATATATATATATATATATATATATATATATATATATTTATATATTATATATTTATATATATATATATAATATATATATATATATATATATATATATATAGTATATATATAAAGAGAGAGACAGAGAGAGAGAGAGAGAAGAGAGAGAGAGAGATGAGCGAGAGAGAAGAGAGAGAGAGAGAGAGAGAGAGAGAGAGAGAGAGAACCAGAGAGAGAGAGAACCACGAAAAGAGAAGAAACCATACAGAGAGAGAAACCAGACAGAGATAGAGACAAACAGACAGACACAAACGAAAGATCGAAAGACAAAAACAGACAGACAGACACAAACGAAAGATCGAAAGACAAAAACAGACAGACAACCAAACAAACAGAGAGCAAAAAAAAAAAAAAAAAAAAAAAAAAAAAAAAAAAAAAACAAGCCCAGCACCTCACCGAAACTCTCATAGCAAATGTTCACGACGCTCTGCACCGTATTGGACGTTCCCGGAGGCGAGATCTTAGCGGCATAAACGACGATGGCGGTGTACCCGAGGCCATAGCAGGGACCGTTGAGGAATTCCACCAGCAGCGTCGCCCACGCAGGACCGTAGGCGCCCACGACCGAGAGACCAAGTAGGCGGAAGATGTACAGGAAGAACACGAGGGACGTTACCTGCTGCGCGCCCATTTTTCTCAGGAACCAACCTGGAGGAGGAAGAGAGAGAGAGGTTGTTTGGGTTAATATCTATCTATCTATTCAATATTTAATATCTATCTATCTATCTAAGGCAGTCATGAAGGGTTCATTTAACCACACGTAAGGTTTTGCAAGATTTAATAAACTCAATCGGGATTCGTAAGTAATTTCGCCGTCAAAATGTAGGCTTTTAAGTGACGTCACAGTCACGTGATGGCAGACAGTAACAGCTGCTTTTTACGGGATCACAATTCCGTTACACATCCTATCTGGATAACTAATAAAGTTACATTGTAATCATTCACAAGCCCCGTGATATGATACAACATGAAGCAAAGCATAATACAAATATACATGCATTATAGTAAATACATATTTAACCTCACTCTCACAGAGGTTAGGAGGGGAAAGATAAATGGAGGGTGGGTTGGTACATAGAAGTAAATAAGAACACAAAAAACGAGATTTAAATATCATTTTGAGAGTATTAAGAAGTATTCAGTGGATTTTTGTTTGTTTGTTTATTTTGAGAGTATTAAGAAATGTCTTTTTGTCTATCTAGCCATAATCTACTGATCTATTTATCTATCCATCTGCTAGGCCTATTTACCTACCTCCCAATCTCACCATCTACCAACCAATAAACCTGTTAATCAATTAATCAAATCTAATCCACAACAATAATCTATCTATCTATCAAATAACCATCAAGCTATATCCATATATATCTATCCAGTCATCCACCATTAACCAATCTTTCTATCTATTCAGTATCTATTTATCTATCAATTTAACCCCACTCTATCTATCTATCCAGCATCAATCAATCAATTTATCCAGTACCAATCTATCAATCCATCATCTATCTAAAAATAAATAGTAAATATAGAATAATAAATTTACTGAAGATGTATTACCTAAATATTTAAGGCGTTAATGTCATCTTCAAAAGCACACGTTTAGTCATGGAATTCGAGGCAAAAAGGAATAAGGAGAGAGATTAAAAGAGAAGAAAAGGAGAGAGAAAGAGAAAAGAGGAGAAAAAAGAAGGAGAAAATAGGAGCAAAGGAAAAAAAAGAGAAAAGAGGAAAAATTAATAGAAAAGAATAAGAGAAAGGAGGAAAAAATATGAGAAAAGAAGAAAGAGAGAAAGGAGGAAAAAATAAGAGAAAAGAAGAGAGGGAAAGGAGGAAAAAATAAGAGAAAAGAAGAGAGGGAAAGGAGGAAAAATAAGAAAAAGAAGAAGAGAGAAAGGAGGAAAAATAAGAGAAAAGAAAAAAGAGAGCCAAAGTGGAATATGAGAAAAAGGGAGAGAAATAAGGGAAAATGGGGAAAAAGAGAAAAAATAAGACATAAAGGGAAAAAAAGAAAAAAATAGACAGGAAGAGGAAAAAGAGAAAATGGGTGATCAATAATAGTACAATAAAAAGGAAGGAAAATTAAGAAACAATTTAGAAGAGAAATCAGGGAGAAAAATAGGAGACCAAAAGGAAAAAAAAAGATAAAAGAGAAAAGGGAGAGCTGAGAAAACTGAGATGATTAAGAGAAGAGGGACAAAAATAGAGAAAATTCTAAAAGAGAGAGAGAGAGAGAAAAGGGAGAAAAATAACAGAAAAATGCAAGAATGTACATGATAAAAAAGAAAAGAAGAACAGAAAAAAATACAAAAGACGAAGAACAGATGAAAAAAAAATAAACAACGGATAAAAAAAGAAGAAAAAATAAACAAATGGACGACTGATGAGAAAGTGAAAAAAATGTATGTGATAAAAAAAAAACGGATAAAAAAAAGAAGAAAAATAAACAAATGGACGACTGATGAGAAAGTGAAAAAATGTATGTGATAAAAAAAAAAAAAAAAAAAAAACGGATAAAAAAAGAAGAAAAATAAACAAATGGACGACTGATGAGAAAGTGAAAAAAAAATGTATGTGATAAAAAAAGGATAAAAAGAAGAAAAAATAAACAAATGGACGACTGATGAGAAAGTGAAAAAAAATGTATGTGATAAAAAAAGAAAAAAAAAGATAAAAAAAGAAGAAAATAAACAAATGGACGACTGATGAGAAAGTGAAAAAAAAAAAAGAAAAGAAAAAACGGATAAAAATAAAGAAGAAAAATAAACAAATGGACGACTGATGAGAAAGTGAAAAAAAAAATGTATGTGATAAAAAAAGATAAAAAAAAAGAAAAAATAAACAAATGGACGATGATCGAAAAGTGAAAAAAAATGTATGTGATGAAAAAACGGAAAAAAAGAAGAAAAAATAAACAAATGGACGACTGATGAGAAAGTGAAAAAAAAATGTATGTGATAAAAAAAAGAAAAAAAAAAGAAGAAAAATAAACAAATGGACGACTGATGAGAAAGTGAAAAAAAAATGTATGTAAAAAAAAAAACGGATAAAAAAAGAAGAAAATAAACAAATGGACGACTGATGAGAAAGTAAAAAAAATGTGTGATAAAAAAAAACGGATAAAATAAAGAAGAAAAAATAAACAAATGGACGACTGATGAGAAAGTGAAAAAAAATGTGTGAATAAAGATAAAAAAAAGAAGAAAAAATAAACAAATGGACGACTGATGAGAAAGTGAAAAAAAAAAATGTATGTAAAAAAAAAAAAAAAACGGATAAAAAAAGAAGAAAAAATAAACAAATGGACGACTGATGAGAAAGTGAAAAAAAAAATGTATGTAAAAAAAAAAACGGATAAAAAAAGAAGAAAAAATAAACAAATGACGACTGATGAGAAAGTGAAAAAAAAAATGTATGTGATAAAAAAAGATAAAAAAAAGAAGAAAAAATAAACAAATGGACGACTGATGAGAAAGTGAAAAAAAAAAAATGTATGTGATAAAAAAAAGATAAAAAAAGAAGAAAAAAATAAACAAATGGACGACTGATGAGAAAGTGAAAAAAAAAATGTATGTGATAATAAAAAGATAAAAAAAAAGAAGAAAAAATAAACAAATGGACGACTGATGAGAAAGTGAAAAAAAAAATGTGTGATAAAAAAAAGATAAAAAAAGAAGAAAAATAAACAATGGACGACTGATGAGATGAAAAAAAAAAAAAATGTATGTGATAAAAAAAGTATAAAAAAAGAAGAAAAAATAAACAAATGACGACTGATGAGAAAGTGAAAAAAAATGTATGTGATAAAAACAAAAGATAAAAAAGAAGAAAAATAAAGCAAATGGACGACTGATGAGAAAGTGAAAAAAAAAATGTATGTGATAAAAAAAAGATAAAAAAAAGAAGAAAAATAAACAAATGGACGACTGATGAGAAAGTGAAAAAAAATGTATGTGATAAAAAAAGATAAAAAAAAGAAGAAAAAATAAACAAATGGACGACTGATGAGAAGTGAAAAAAAAAATGTGATAAAAAAAATAAAAAGATAAAAAATGACTGAAAGAAAGTAAAAAAAAGATATAAAAAAAGAAGAAAAATAAACAAATGGACTGATGAGAAAGTGAAAAAAAAATGTATGTGATAAAAAAGAGATAAAAAAAGAAAAATAAACAAATGGACGACTGATGAGAAAGTTGAAAAAAAAAATGTGATAAAAAAATAAAAAAAAGAAGACAAATGGACGACTGATGAGAAAGTGAAAAAAATGTATAAAAAAAAAACGGATAAAAAAAGAAGAAAAAATAAACAAATGGACGACTGATGAGAAAGTGAAAAAAAAAAAAATGTATGTGATAAAAAAAAAACGGATAAAAAAAAGAAAAAAAAAATAAACAAATGGACGACTGATGAGAAAGTGAAAAAAAAATGTGTGATA